ATCCAGCCTGTCCAGATCCTTCTGTAGAGCCTTCCTATCCTCGAGCAGATCGACACTCCCACCTAACTTGGTGTCACCTGCAAACTTACCGAGGGTGCACTCAATCCCCTCATCCAGATTGTTGATAAAGATATTAAACAAGGCTGGCCCCAAAACGGAGCCCTGGGGAACACCACTTGTGACTGGTCGCCAACTGGATTGATCTCCATTCACCACAACCCTCTGGGCTCAGCCACCCAGCCAGTTTTTTGTCCAGCAAAGAGTATGCCTGTCCAAGCCATGAGCCACCAGCTTCCTAAGGAGAATGCTGTGGGAGATGGTGTCAAAGGCTTTACTGAGGTCCAGGTAAATGACATCCACAGCCTTTCCTTCATCCACTAGGCAGGATGTGGGTTTTTTTGCCACCATGTGCTTCTACAATGTTTTTTTTCACAAAAGTTACCCAGTAGGTAAAAGGATTAAGAGCATTAATATAATTCCATAATCGTGAAGGGGAAATTAATTTTGTAGCTTTGGAAGGAAAGTGTAAATATTTTACAGAATAGAATGCTCTCAGCATCTGTATTTTAGCCTCTCCCCCCTCCCCAAATTCCCACTCTATAGTGTACAAGAGCCCTTCGGGAATAGATTTATTTTAAGTTTTCATAGTGCCTATAAGCCATCCTTTGTGCCAAATACTGGAACACAATACAAGGTATACTTATTGCAGTCACAGTCATAAATTCATATTGTCATTCTATAATTGTTGTTAAGTACTTATTTACTATATGTCAAACCTGAATGTTTAGAAATATATCTAATTGTAATTACTAAAGTGGAATAATTAGCGTGTTTATGGATAGTGATAGCTGTATATGGCCCTGTTTTTGCAAATATTGACAGGTTCAAATTTCAGTTGTCTGACAAATTCCTGAGATTTTGGGAAGAAATATAAAATGGGAGTTAAATGGGATGATTACTGATAAAATTATCATCTTGAAAGGGTAGTTGCGTACTTTTTGATTGTAAATAGTTATCACACTCAGAACAAAGATAGCCAGTCATACAAACTAAATGTGCTGAAATAATACATACTACTCTGGAAACTAAATTATTGTTAACCAGTGTAGCACAACATCAGCTGATGTAATTGTTTAAAAATCTCATACGACATTTTAGCAAGGATGCTGTAAAATAGATTCAGTATTAAAACTCCTAAGTAATTTTTCACCATTACAGCTTTTAATTTCAGTGAAAAAAAAAATCAAATAGCCAGTTTTATGGGTTTTGGTTCCTTTGCAATATATTAACAGAGCAGTCATATTGTGTGTTAGTGTAGTAATAAGAAACAGTTAACAGTCTGAAGGTCAGCAACAGCTAAACAGAGGAATAAAACCATCTTTTTTTTTTTTTCCCTCAGAAAAATCTGACTTTTGATGTTAATTTTAATCTTACTAAAATATGAAGTTATTTATGGTCAAGCTTAGATACATTAATATTTGTTAATTGGAATTGGGAACTGAAGACCTGTGTAGCTGGTGGCCTTATGTTTTTGCATTGAAGGCCCATGTGAGAACAGTGGGAATACTCAAAATAATTGTGAGTTTTTATGCAAAGTGATGAAAATGATGTTTTCCAAGGAAGAAACCTGACTCATATAGGGAAAAATGAATACTAGACTACCTCTCATTAGCCTTTGATCCAGCAGTGATGGATAGTAGAATGGTAACAAAATAAAATCTGCTTGTTTTAATCACTTATTCGTTTCACAATAACATTTTCAATATTCATTACTTTCTGGGGGTTTACATGGGGGTCTCATTTTATATTCCTAGTCTTTTATGAAATACCTAGTATTAAGTAAGTGTGTGTATTTGAGTGCCATTAAATTGTTTCAGGCCTACATTTTTGTAGTTTAGTGTAATTAAAGTAGTATTAATGAGAAGACTTTCATAGTGCTGGGGATAAAAAGGAAAGAATAATGTTCTCATGGCACATTGTAGCACTTTCTAAATCCTAAATTATATGAGCGATAATGTCAACAAAGTTGATGATAATGCATTATTTGGTATGCGTTGATGAACAACTCCGTACTGGCGCCATGGCTGGGGACTGCACACTGCAGACTGGGCAGGAGTGGACTCTGAAGTTGCATCCTGGCAAAGAGCCTTTCAAGTAAGAGGCAGAAAATCAGTTCTTTTTTCCCCTCTTGTCACTATTACATCATCAATTGTGCTTTCTTAGACAAATGCACTTGGATTATTTAGTATTTCCCTGTGAATTTTTAGCAAAAGTAGAAATCTTAGAAATTATTATTACATTATTACAATTTAGTGCTTATGAGGATCACAGTTAACATAAAGGGAAACCTTGCTTCAGGATTCAGAGAGTTAAAAATAAGTTCCATACGTTCAAATGACAGATAACATTCTTAATGCCTGATACTATAAGCATAAGTTTAGGAAATGTAGCCAATCTCTTGTTTGTGGACAGGCAATATAAACAACTATTACATTAACTTTGCTCTGTCACTGACAAGGAGATACAGTAGAGACCGTGATAATTAAAAAATTGTGAGATACATTTTGGAAACATGGAGTTGTAATGTTAAGATGGGAGAAACTCAGAACAGGGAATGAGTTTTGCATCATTTTTAAAATGGTGCACTGAAAACAGGGATCCCCAACTCCTATCTTTCACTTAAATTAACAGTCTGATTTTTCAAATGTTTTCACTGATGCCACACACTTGACTGGTGCAGGCATGTATGTAGGCACCTGAACCTAAAGCCAGGCAACACACATCAAAACTGAAGACTGGCATGTGTCCCAGAAGAAAAAACTAGAAACAGCTAATAGATTCATCAGAACTTGCAAACAGCTGCATTTCAGAGGAGAAGGTGTTCATGATCCTTCAGGAAGCTTGTGGACGTCTTTTGCTTGTATTTGATTTTTTTGCTTGTTTACTTGTTTGAGGGGTTTTATTCATTTCTACCACTGAATTGTTTAGCACTCATAATGTGGATGACACGAGGTGCTGGTTTTTGCTTCCAAATGACTGTATGACATATGTACCACAGAATCATCAGATTTAGAACATTGCGAATTTGAATTGTGGGATCTTGATGGAAGGGTAGGTGAAGAATTCCTGGATTTTGTTCCCAACTCTGTATTCTTCTTTGAATTTTAAATATTTTAAACATTTTTGTTTAGTTGGAGAGTTGCTTATTAAGTGGATGAATCACCTTGAGTTTTCATAATTAGCTGTCTTCGTCACTGTCTAATATGGTAGAGCTTATGTCTTTGTCTTTTGGTTTTTTTCAGGTATGAATACAAGCAAGAGTGAGACAGTGAAAGACCATCCATTAAAACCCTCTAGAAGATCTATGCCATGCCTAGCCCAGAGCCAAACACATCCTCAGAGTCTGAGCAAGCATTCGTCATTTCTGCAGCCAAATCGGGTGCAGCCACAGCCCCGGCCTCAGCCTCTAAGTGCAGGGACATCTACAGCTACAGTGGATGTAGTGTCAGAACGAGGTAGGAGGTTTTTCTCTTTCAGGAGCTTGTTCCAACACTAGGAATTGAAGGGATCTGTGGGGACATGATCTGAAGTCCTGTGGTGTCTTAGATATAATTTTTTAGCATCTTTCATTAAATTATAGGGGCATCTGATAAACTTTGATTTGTTGGAGAGATGTTTTTGCACAAAGCAGCTAGAAGAACCATGGTGCTGAGTTCTTGAGTGAATTTCTATAATGTTTGAAGTGAGGCTTAAACCAGTTTTAATTTTATTTTTCTGAATTACAAGATTATTTTCTTCTCACTGAAAATAAGACAAGAAAGTGCTCCTGTATGCTGGGGAAGAGCATGAAGGTTTCTGTAGTCTGTCCTAGGAGAAAGAAAAAAAAATAAATATTAGGCTTTTGGCAAGAAATGTCTTTAAGTATGAATGTGTAGGAGCAGATGTATTCATTCTTGAATAGCAGAATCAGGGAAGAGTGGTATGGGAGAATGAGAGAAAAGGGAGAAAATCCCTATAAGTTGTTGGAAAAAGGAACTACTTTTATTTTAGGATTTCTGTTTTAACAGATAAACATGCCTTAACAGAGAGACTAGTCTAGTTGGAGATCCCAGTCACTGTGTGTGTCACCCGTTGCCGACTATTGCCAACTGTGTGTGAACCTTTATAGAATAAATTAACACAGCTGGCTTCTGCTACTAAATTTTGATAAGTCCTTCCTTACAAGTTAATAGGCACTAATTATTACCCTAGTAAGTTATTTCACTGAGTTAAACTTCTCTCAGGAATAGAGTGAAAGTCCTCATTAAAGTGATCATGTTCTTATTTCTACCAATGGAAAGTCCTCTTCAAAATTTCAGCCTAAAGTTTTTCATTTGAGTCACTGACAGCTTTAAAAAGTGTATCTTTTACTTATAAAATACATGCAAATGCTGATCTGAATATTGCATTTATTCCAGCAAAAGTGATGGAAACTTTGGAAAACAACTTGCTTAAGCTGTCTAATACAGAATACAGGGATCCATTTTCAGGTAAGTTTGTGTCTGAACTGAAATAATAATAAATTAATGATACTTCAATTACACTTGCAGTATTTAAGTGTGGAAAGGCCGTGCTTACCCTGAACTGCCAGGTTTTTTGAAAGGGGAGACTGAATGTGACTCGAGAAATACATGCTGTCATAAATTTCCTGATACTTTCTCACCTTTCAGACTAACAGTAAATAGGGACTAAAGACAGAGCAGTATTTTTTCATGCATTCAGTGTAACCTTTTCCCATAACAATCCTTCGTAATACAGTCACTTGGAAGCATGTATTTGAAATTCCTTTGAAATAATTATTATTCAGTTATAATTATTCCTGTATATTCATTTTATTCAGTATTGTCATGGCTGCAGTTGTTATGTTGTTGGTTTTGCCTTAGATATTCATGTATATTTGCTTTAGATATTAATGTATAAAAAGTGTTCCAGTCGGGGGGGGGTGGGGGTGTAACACAGAAAAATAGCTATAATTGGGGCATATTTATATCTGCATTAATGACATTTTGATACTTTAATTAAAGTCAAAGAAAGTAGGAAAGGAGTAGTTAGAATAATCCCATCCTTGCAACTGCAAAATGAGTCTGTATATACACACACGAGTAGTAATTTGCAGGTTCCAAAATTAATTAATTTTGAAATTCCCTGAGTGTGTATTACCCATCTGAAATACTCACAGATATTGCTGGACCTTGCACAATTACTGAAGATCTTTTTGCTCACAGTCAATACAGCATCAAACTAGAAATTGTATCTTCATGCTGAAGGAAAGAGATCTGCTTTCAGAAAGCTATTTCTGCTCACCCGTCACATGTTTTAGCATTGATTTTTCTTGATGCCCAAAATAAATGATAGATAAGAGGCTCTTCAAGGTCTCCTAAGAGGTAGCTACTGGGAACATGAGTGAAATTGATACTTCCTCCAAAACAAAATCAAAATGTTCCAAAATCATGACACAGACCAAAAATTTGGCATGAAGATTGTATAAGAAAATCATGTGTCTCGGTAAGGTTCCAGTTGAAGCTACGGCACTCTCTTAGTGCAATTGGTTTCATTGGGTAGGCATGCATGGGTACTAGAAGTTTTCAATGTTATAATCTGCTTCAATTTTTTTTTAATATCCTGTTCTATTTTTTACTAATTGCTTACACGTATATGTGCTGATATTATTGCATATTTATGCAGCATTACTTTTTTCTCATAGTAAGTAATGTGCTGTTTTTCATTCATATCACCTAGTTTTAACCTGAAAAGAAACATGGAGGGGTCAGCAATTGAGGAGAAGATAGACTGAGTCTCATCGGCTCAAAATTGTATTAAACTTTGGTGTGGATGTTTCTCCTCTTCTGACTACAGCTATGCTCTTTGAAGAGACAGGAAAAAATATTTAAACAGTAGCCCTTTGCTAACTTGATTCATTAATTTGCCCATGTTAATTGAGTCAATCCCAAATTAGACTACTGAAATCTGTGAAGTTATTCTGCATTTACAGAAGTGTAATTGGTTAGGATGTTCAGCTACAGACAAAGAAGGAAACAGTATTTATAAATCAATCCCAGAAGTCAGTAGTAAGGGTTGCCTTAGATAAAAATCAGCGTTATCAGTTTAGGTTCATGAAGAGAAATCATGGACAGTTAAAGGTGTATTTTTAAAAATGGCCTTACTGTAAACCTTCAAAATATGGTTTGTTTGTGCTTGAGGATCATATTTATGTGGGTAAGAATTTGTCTCCAAGACTAAAATTTTTTATTTTATCCTGAATCAGGGAGGGGGGTGGGGGAGAGGGGAAAAAAAAAAAAAAAAGAATATTGCTGCTTGAACTTTGATCACCAAATAGGTGAAAACGATGCAGCACTGCTGCATGCTTTAGTCTGTACTCTGGCACTTTGATGGAGTTTGCAAAATAGGCTGATTAATGGGTATCATCTTCTTAGTGAACCTTTTCAAACTGCTCTCCTGAGAACATGAAAGAATGCTGAATTAAGTGAATGTGGTGAATTTTTAATTAGGCAGCATCATGGAACTGTACATAAAATAGGCCAAATGGCTTTCTCCTCTTCCAGAATTGTGTCCACAGACAAGCTATCTTCTTGTGAGAAGGGGATTAACAGGCATCAGAGAAAAGACTTCAGTGGAAGGGTTCTCTTTTATTTCTATTGATTATAGATGAGGCCATAAATCTCTTGGACGTTAGTTAGTGACATCAATGGATTTATAAAGTAAGAAGATAATGTGTTACACCTTTGTTACTGCTAACACAGACAAACAGGATCAAGGACACTATGGATTTATGTTCTTTTTCCTCTGTTAGTTTTAGATGGTGAGTAGTGGTTTTAGTTTGAGGAATCGGTAAATTCAAGCAAAGTAATATGCATTGAGCTTCTCTAACATAGAACATGAACTATGAGGTTTCAGACATGCTGGAATGCTCAGTGCTTAGCCAAAGCTTTGTGGAAATTCCCACCCAGTGAAGGTTATGATCAGGGCTTTCAGATCTTAGCTAAGTGGAAATCATGCATTGCTTGGATCTGGACATTCGGTAAAACGTTACGCCTTGCATTTCTCAAAGCATGGTTGTAGAATTTGGTGTTCAGTCCAGAGCAAAATCATGTTATTGCTTCTACTTCCTTGAAAAAGTGGGGTTTTTTTTTCCCCTATATGTTTGCATTATAGAATATAAAGTTCTGGTTTAAGTGACCTTTGTCACTTGTTGTGACTTCAGTTCACAAAAGATACAACTAAGATCAGAGTTCCCAGTTCCCCAAGGAATGTTAATCTCTCCAGCTCTACTGCAGCTTCCTTTAGGATTTTTACTCATCAAATGAGTGAGTCCTGCTTTTTGACTGTTCAAAAAATGCCTAAGAACTCCAATAGACCAATATGCCTGCTAACCAATATAATGTAGTTAGTGGAAAAACTAATGACAGTGAATTTATTCTCAGCAACAAGACACATTGATTTTTGTCAACTCATTTAGCCGCAAGGAGCTAGTCAAATCCTATAACCACACACAGGGGAATTTTCTGAATAAACTTTTTGATGAGAACATTCCAATTTGTCAAGGCTTCTTCAGAAATATTTATGCAAGGTTAGAAGAGGGTAGGATTTCTCACCATGGGGGAGACCACTGCAGCGTACCCACCCACCCTGCTGCTGACGCTGTGTGTCAGGGACATGGAAGACTGAGGTTCCAGTTACTGAATTATACAGGAAGGAACAACTTCGTAACATTAAGTTACAGACTGTCTTGAGGTAATACTTGAATTTTTTCCTGAAAGATGCCTAAAGTTTTTGTTCTAGTATGAAATGGGAAGACTTCAGCTTTTATAGAGGCAGTAGAAGTATTTACTGCCCAGGTATATAATCTTTGATGCCAGACACAGGAGAGATACTTACACGAGATGACAGAGACAGTCAGGCTAAGTGTCACTGTGGTATTTTAGGTAACAAGAACAGTATACCTGTGATACAGGACTTAGCTCGACTCCTCTCTCATGTTGATACAATAGTCACAAATACCTAAAAGGCACAGATTTAGCAAAACAGGAAAAATCTTTTTCATACTTTTTTTAGAATTGAGTGTCGGGATCTTATAAGAGATAAATACAAGAAAAAATGAAAATACCTGTGTTGTATTTGCAGATACATGTAAATTTGCATTACACAAGAACCTGGACGTTAAAGTCTGAACTCCTTGCTATAACAATATAATTCCAGTGTCATTCATTTTTTTAGTACATTTGAAAGTCACACCAGTGTTACTCAGACATTTCATATTCATTCTCTCAAAGGGAATTCAACATTATAATTTTTTTTTCGAAGTCTTCTGTCTGTGGATACTTGCTTAAAAATGTAGTGTATATTTATATTCCATTCTGTTTTACTGTGCATTGTTTTTCTTCTGAAGGACGTGCTCAGTAATTACTTTGATTGTGCCAGCTGGATTTAAATGACAGAGCTTTAACTTCAGTTACTGAATATCTGGCTTTACTGCAGCTTGTGGCTTTAGTTGGAGCTGGAAAAAATAAGTGAGGAATAGTTAGTTCCTAGTAGGTTACACAGTAGCTACACAGTAACTACATACAGAAAGTCACATTAATCAAAATTTGTTTTCCTCTAGAACTTTTTTTTTTAAGTTCTAGACACATAATGTGGCTGCAATTCTGTTATCTAATGTGTTAGTTATTCCAGGAGCTGCTCCACTGGTGTGGGAGTATGTCTGTGTGCACATGCATGTATAAAGAAACAGTAACCGGTACATTTTTAAAATAATGCTTTTCTTTTCCCTTAAAGGCCATCATATGCATAACGGGAATGAACCTCATCTGTGAACTATCACAGATTTGGCTGGCCATCTTTTGTAAAAGAAATCTGAATGTAAACAATTTTGATTAAGGTTATTTGCACCAGAATTTTATCTCCATGAACAGTCGAAAAATCCTCTTCAGTAATCTCTGTTAAAATTATAGGAGGTGGTTACTACATACCTTTTTGGAGTTTTGAGTATGCTTTAGAAATAAATTGACTGAATTTAAGAGAAGTTAGCAGTTCTTTATTGTTGAACTGAAAAGTACTCTTGAGTTAAGCTGAAGGGAATTTAAATGATTTGCAGGAGGATTTGTTTTACTTTGTTTCAGTAATAACTCCCTTTTTCTAAGAAGAGTTTTTTTTCTTGATGTAATAGAGATAAGTGCTCTCTTCTAATGCATGGCGCAGGTGAAAAAGAACTGTGTAAGGTGCAAAGGCTCACAAACCCAGGAACTAATATTCCACTGAATAGCCTGATCTTTCTCAAATTTTCCTTTGGGTTTAGCTAAAGGAATAGAAGGACAGTGGCAGTATTTGGACTGATAGGTGACTTGTTTTTCCCATTTGCTAGGTCCCTTTTTGTTGTTAAAATTACTGTCATTAGTGTTGCCACGTTTGACTTCCTTTTTTTATGTTCACTTTCAAACACTGTGAGCCAGATCTATGAAAGTGATTTCTTATT